AAATATTATTTTACGAATTATAGAGTCTCTGCTAATCATAATTCTCTTGAGTAATTGAAAATACCTATTTAGCCACTTGAATTTAATACAGTAAGCTAGGTGGTTTTAAGACTTTTAAAATCTATTGAAGTATTTAAATTTATACTTTGCATATTTTCGTTTCATTTGACCTAAAAAATATTTTAACAAATTATACAGAATAATACAAATACTCTAATTAAGAAATTCTTTAGGCAAAATGGTTTAACAATTTAAGCCTCTCTCTTAATTGATCTCTATTGGGATTTACTATTTTATCTGGAATTGGTGGAATGTAATATCCACACCAAAATTTTAGAAGTGATTTTCTTAAAGAATAAAACTCTTTATATCTTCTTTATATTTAAAACCTTCCCCAAGCATCCACACCTTAAATAGTGTATAATAAATAATGTTTTAATTTGGATTTTTTTTATTTCTATAGGATTGCACACATGAATCACAATTGATTTCTAATTATTATTGAATTCAGAAACTTCATTACTAATTTGCTATTACTCTGGATTTAGCAAATAAGTATTGATTTAGTCATTTGTTGATTCTTATTGGTTGAATTGTAACTAGGTTTCGTTTAATTTCCAATCAATCTTGTATATTATATCTTTATACTTAGTCTTTTTGCATCATTTAATTATATAGAATGATTAAATTAATCAAATTTTAGATTTATAATAAAAATCATTTATACATATATTTCTGTTTAAACATAATTTTAATATAATGAATAAATTATTTAATCAAAAACACAGATTTAATATTATTTATATGACTTAGAATATGTAATGTTATCAACATTACTAAGTTTCTAATCTAACTTAATAAGTAATCTTATGTAATTTTGTCCTTTAATAAAGAATTGGTGGATACAATAAGTATATGAATAGAGAATGAAATAAATATAAACATCTTAATTTTTTAGTTTCTAATTTAATAAATCATTAAACAAGTAATTTATGGATAAGTTTCACTTATATGATAATATAGTATATTTCAATGAGAAATTCATTAACAATCCTCTTAAAATCTTTAGTAATAGAAAAGAAATGACATTAGAAGGAATAAAGTAATTCTTTATTCAAATTGATAAAGAAGAATGGAAGTTCGAGACTTTATGTGATATTTATAACACATTAACTATTACTTAATCAATTATTTTCTGTTCTAACAGGGAAAAGTGTATTTGGTTGGCAAATAAAATGATAGAAAATCAATTTACTGTTGTTTAAATGCATGAAAATATGAGTTAATAAGAAAGAGATAAAATAATGGCTGACTTTAAATAAGGAAATTATAGAGTCTTAGTTACTAGTGACATTTTTGGGAGAAGTATCATTTATACTATTATCAAAAGGTATTGATATTGAATTAATTTCCTTGATTATTAATTATGATTTACCAAAATTAAAGGAATTATACATTCACAGGATTGGAAGAACTAGTAAATTTGGAAGAAAGAGCATTGCAATTAATTTTTTTATATAAGAAGATATTAAAATGCTAAATGAAATTGAATAATATTATTAAACAAAAATTGAAGAGATGCCAATAAATTTTACAGATTTTTTATGAAATCATATTGAATTTATAACTCTGTTTCATTATTTTAAATTATTCAATTAAATTCCACCAAACTTCTAATTATTTATCTATTTACTCTTTAATTTCATTTTTCTAATTAGAAAATTTCATTCTTCTTATTAGAAAATATAATATGAAAATTAAACCTAATATAAATATAAAAAAATAATTTCATATTGCTATCATTTATTAAATTTTAACAATCTTTAACAATATTACTTTTAATTCTATTTATAATATCGAAATAAATGATTAATTAATTATAACTTGTTTTCTGCAATTAATGTAAATGTGTATTCCCTTAATATTCTTCATTAGTATTTATTTCATAACCAATGTCTGCAATAAAAATTTTATCTTCATTATTTGAGTAGATAATAAAATGAGTAGTATTCAACGTAATTAGTATAATTATTGAATAATTAACAGGTACAGAATACTTACGTTATATTAATCTAATATTTAAAACAGACTACATATATTAAATAAATTATAAACATTTTCTAATTTTTAATATGATCCAATGTAATCTATTTCAGTTTAATCTGTTGTTAAATCATAAAAGTAAGTATGTTNTATCTTCTTTATATTTAAAACCTTCCCCAAGCATCCACACCTTAAATAGTGTATAATAAATAATGTTTTAATTTGGATTTTTTTTATTTCTATAGGATTGCACACATGAATCACAATTGATTTCTAATTATTATTGAATTCAGAAACTTCATTACTAATTTGCTATTACTCTGGATTTAGCAAATAAGTATTGATTTAGTCATTTGTTGATTCTTATTGGTTGAATTGTAACTAGGTTTCGTTTAATTTCCAATCAATCTTGTATATTATATCTTTATACTTAGTCTTTTTGCATCATTTAATTATATAGAATGATTAAATTAATCAAATTTTAGATTTATAATAAAAATCATTTATACATATATTTCTGTTTAAACATAATTTTAATATAATGAATAAATTATTTAATCAAAAACACAGATTTAATATTATTTATATGACTTAGAATATGTAATGTTATCAACATTACTAAGTTTCTAATCTAACTTAATAAGTAATCTTATGTAATTTTGTCCTTTAATAAAGAATTGGTGGATACAATAAGTATATGAATAGAGAATGAAATAAATATAAACATCTTAATTTTTTAGTTTCTAATTTAATAAATCATTAAACAAGTAATTTATGGATAAGTTTCACTTATATGATAATATAGTATATTTCAATGAGAAATTCATTAACAATCCTCTTAAAATCTTTAGTAATAGAAAAGAAATGACATTAGAAGGAATAAAGTAATTCTTTATTCAAATTGATAAAGAAGAATGGAAGTTCGAGACTTTATGTGATATTTATAACACATTAACTATTACTTAATCAATTATTTTCTGTTCTAACAGGGAAAAGTGTATTTGGTTGGCAAATAAAATGATAGAAAATCAATTTACTGTTGTTTAAATGCATGAAAATATGAGTTAATAAGAAAGAGATAAAATAATGGCTGACTTTAAATAAGGAAATTATAGAGTCTTAGTTACTAGTGACATTTTTGGGAGAAGTATCATTTATACTATTATCAAAAGGTATTGATATTGAATTAATTTCCTTGATTATTAATTATGATTTACCAAAATTAAAGGAATTATACATTCACAGGATTGGAAGAACTAGTAAATTTGGAAGAAAGAGCATTGCAATTAATTTTTTTATATAAGAAGATATTAAAATGCTAAATGAAATTGAATAATATTATTAAACAAAAATTGAAGAGATGCCAATAAATTTTACAGATTTTTTATGAAATCATATTGAATTTATAACTCTGTTTCATTATTTTAAATTATTCAATTAAATTCCACCAAACTTCTAATTATTTATCTATTTACTCTTTAATGTAATTTTTCTAATTAGAGAATTTCATTCTTCTTATTAGAAAATATAATATGAAAATTAAACCTAATATAAATATAAAAAAATAATTTCATATTGCTATCATTTATTAAATTTTAACAATCTTTAACAATATTACTTTTAATTCTATTTATAATATCGAAATAAATGATTAATTAATTATAACTTGTTTTCTGCAATTAATGTAAATGTGTATTCCCTTAATATTCTTCATTAGTATTTATTTCATAACCAATGTCTGCAATAAAAATTTTATCTTCATTATTTGAGTAGATAATAAAATGAGTAGTATTCAACGTAATTAGTATAATTATTGAATAATTAACAGGTACAGAATACTTACGTTATATTAATCTAATATTTAAAACAGACTACATATATTAAATAAATTATAAACATTTTCTAATTTTTAATATGATCCAATGTAATCTATTTCAGTTTAATCTGTTGTTAAATCATAAAAGTAAGTATGTTACATTAGAAGATGATTTTAAAATTAAGTTATTTATACTATAATATTTTAAATTCATACTATCTTTTTTCCTCCACTATTTCGTGTAATTTTTTATAGTTTGTAAGAGATTTCATAATTTTCTATTATAATTATAATTTTGCTTATAATTGTTATCTTAAAAATTACTTACAACATAATAATTTTTACTTTTCCATTTTCAAGTGTACATTCTAAAAAATGAGATAAAATAAACCAAATATGCTTAATTTTTGAAAAACTCAATACAATACTAAAAATTGTGGTGAGTAGTGCCTATTGAAATTAATTTTTTTAGTTTTTTTTAAAATCTAAATAATAGAAAGAGGCAAATAATCCCTAATTTGGTGTTGATAGTAAAAAATATTAAATTATGATGATTTAAATAAAATTTTGAACTCAATAGGTTTTAAATCTCAAATATAAAATATTTATATAAAGTTCTATGGTGAAAAATTTAATTGTGGAATGTATTTAATTGATTATATATTTTTAGAAAAATATTGTTAATGGGAAAGTTAAGAACTATTTTATTATAAAAAAACCAACAATTTAATTCATAAAGAAACTCTATGTTTCGCTCATTTATAATATTGTTTATAGGTTTGATTGAAATTAAAACCTTAGTAAAATGTAGAAAATTATTTTATATTTATAGAATAAAAATAATATATTTTTCTTATCGGAATTTAAAAATAAAAAATCAATTCAATTTTACTTAATTAAAATAGTTTCCTTAAAAGAAATAGGTTGATTTAATATATTACTAAATCACAACTTGTTAGTATTATTGTATTATTTATTTTAATAAATGCTCTACTCTCTCTCCCTTACTATTCAAATACAAAAATAAAATGAAAATAGCAGTTGAATAAAGAAATAATAAACATTATTTATTTCTGATATATTAAAGCTTTGTTAAATTTATATTTTTTTGACTCAATTTAGATATATTTCGCTCCATTTACATTTAAGAAAAATATTAAGAAATTAATACTATTTTTATCAAAATATAATTTTTTATCCTAAAGTTTCTTTTTATTGTTCATCAAAAAACGTAGTTAAATTTCTCTAAGACAAAAAATATTTATTCATAATTAAATAAAGAATACTATTATGTCTTCTAATCTTTAATCCATAAAAATTAGCAAGTCGGATTATGAGATATCTCCTAATGGGGAGTAGTTGTTAAGTGTTATGTAGCTTCCTTAGATCAAAAAATTCCAAATCCATTTTTTTCAATGAAGCCATTAGAATACTAACAGCAATCTTCAGTGTTAGAGAAATTAAAGGTTTTTTTTAGTTTTAATTTAATAGAAGTCCATTCACAATTAGACTATTGAAAAAATAGTAGAATGCAATAAAATCATTATTCAAATTTTTTTTAATTAATTTAGGTTTTCCTTTTTATATGCTCATAACTTACGCATAAGCAGAAAAATCGTTTTTAAAAGATATTTCAAACAAGAAAAATTTTATGAGTATATACTTTACCATTTTTTAATCTTTATTTACAGTATTTTAAAGAAAATATTTGTAGTCAGTTCTCACCCTAATTAAATGATATCACTATAATAAATCACATAATCTTTATAATACATTAATTTTTATATGAAGTAGTATCTAAAACATATATTTTGCAGCAAAAAATACAGATTAAGTGTTTTATAAAGAACATTTGTAATCTAAAATTAAAAAGGGCGAAATTTGACCATTTACATTAAAAGTAAATACAAAAAATTTTCGAAAAATTACTCAAAGGAAAGAAGATGTCTGTCTTTATAAATCAAAGAGATTCTAATAAACCTTAATTTAAATACATTATCTTGATTTGATGCCTATTTCTCATTTTTTATTGCAATGTAAGTTAGTATAAAATGTTCATTTTTTTATTTATAATCATTTTTATGAAAAATACCCAAAATTCTCTTATTTAAGGTTGATAAGAATAATCATTCTACAAATTTTTGATGAAATTTCTATAAAAAATAAAATGATATTTGGATAAATTAATTATTAAATTAGATTTGAAATATTTTTCTTAATATATATAATTAAATTATTGTAATTTTTAAGTATTAATATTATATTTAAGCATTGAATATAGAATAATGGTTCACATTAATTTTTATTATTTTTCNCATCAAAAAACGTAGTTAAATTTCTCTAAGACAAAAAATATTTATTCATAATTAAATAAAGAATACTATTATGTCTTCTAATCTTTAATCCATAAAAATTAGCAAGTCGGATTATGAGATATCTCCTAATGGGGAGTAGTTGTTAAGTGTTATGTAGCTTCCTTAGATCAAAAAATTCCAAATCCATTTTTTTCAATGAAGCCATTAGAATACTAACAGCAATCTTCAGTGTTAGAGAAATTAAAGGTTTTTTTTAGTTTTAATTTAATAGAAGTCCATTCACAATTAGACTATTGAAAAAATAGTAGAATGCAATAAAATCATTATTCAAATTTTTTTTAATTAATTTAGGTTTTCCTTTTTATATGCTCATAACTTACGCATAAGCAGAAAAATCGTTTTTAAAAGATATTTCAAACAAGAAAAATTTTATGAGTATATACTTTACCATTTTTTAATCTTTATTTACAGTATTTTAAAGAAAATATTTGTAGTCAGTTCTCACCCTAATTAAATGATATCACTATAATAAATCACATAATCTTTATAATACATTAATTTTTATATGAAGTAGTATCTAAAACATATATTTTGCAGCAAAAAATACAGATTAAGTGTTTTATAAAGAACATTTGTAATCTAAAATTAAAAAGGGCGAAATTTGACCATTTACATTAAAAGTAAATACAAAAAATTTTCGAAAAATTACTCAAAGGAAAGAAGATGTCTGTCTTTATAAATCAAAGAGATTCTAATAAACCTTAATTTAAATACATTATCTTGATTTGATGCCTATTTCTCATTTTTTATTGCAATGTAAGTTAGTATAAAATGTTCATTTTTTTATTTATAATCATTTTTATGAAAAATACCCAAAATTCTCTTATTTAAGGTTGATAAGAATAATCATTCTACAAATTTTTGATGAAATTTCTATAAAAAATAAAATGATATTTGGATAAATTAATTATTAAATTAGATTTGAAATATTTTTCTTAATATATATAATTAAATTATTGTAATTTTTAAGTATTAATATTATATTTAAGCATTGAATATAGAATAATGGTTCACATTAATTTTTATTATTTTTCATATATATTAGTTTTGACGTCATCTCATTATTATTATTAATGAATAAAATCATAGCCATCTTGTTTGTAATATGTATTGCAAATGCAAGATAATATACATTATACAAATAATGTGATTCTGCTTGGGCTAATGATTAATTAGGAACAAGTGCAAATACAATATGCAGAGCAGGATGTTTAATTTCATCTATCGCCATGATGTTACATACTTATGGTGTAGTAACAGATGGTACAACAACTCCAAAAACAATGAATACATGGTTAAGAAAGAATGGAGGGTATGCTTCTGGTGATCTTTTTGTCTGGGCCTCAATTAATCCTCTTGGTTTTGTTTTTTAAGGGTGGATCACAACTACTTAAGCAAAATGTAAGAATTATAATTATTTTTTAGATAAATTTGATGCTGGATTACATGTTATTTTGAATGTCAATAATGGTGGTCATTATGTGTTGATGACATCATATTCAGGAGACACTTTCAATGTTAATGATCCTGGATATTCCAGATCAACATATTCAGCTAATGAAGTTAAAGAGGCAGCTTATTATGTCCATAGTAAAATCACCTATTTTAAGAATCATGTCTTAAATATTTGAGTAATTGATTTAGAAGATGCATAATAATAATAAATATAAATTTCGATTATCATATATTATCAAAAAAAGATCATGTTATTCATTTATAATAAGCGTCTTTTTAATAGAGCATATCCTTTAGGCATAATTATTTTTATTTTTCAGTATATAAAAACTTGAAAGTAAAAATCTAAAATATCTTTAAATTGAAATTAGATTATTTTAGAGCCTTCTAGCTCTGTAAAAAATAAGAAATTTTATCAAACAGATTCTATTCATTAAACGATATTTGGTGAAATTAATACAATACTTAATCACCCCAACCAAAAATTACTCTTGAACTCATTTTCTAATAATTAAAATATATATGATATATTAATTTTAATTATATATGCTTCAGGTCAAATTTGTGACAAATGAATTGATACCTTCGAGTTTGTTGAAATTTCAAGAATCAAATAATTAAACAGTTGCTAAATATACAACTATATTTGATTGAGCAAAGATTTCACACTTTATTACTTTAAGAAATTATAAAATATATTTCACAAATTATCGTATTGCATTCATATATTAATTGAGAATAAAAATTCAAATTATAAAAATTCTTAATAATCATTTAGAGATCAAGCATTCACTTTACTTTCTTCTTTATGAATAATTATTTTATTATTTTATATTTATGTAAAAAGCAATCATTAAATTCTAAATATTATTAGGCATTCTTATTATTTTGTTAATCAGAACTTTAAATAATAATAATAATTAAATCAAGTTAATTACTTTCAAACTAAAACAAGATTATAAAATAATACTAAATATATACTTAAGGAATTTTTAATAATTCATATAAAATTCTCGTCTATCACACTTTATAAATTATCTAAACTCTTGAAATGTAATTAAATTCAAAACTTTAATATTTATGACAAATTTTTTGATTCCTTTCATTTTGGGTTTAAATCATTTATTCTTTGTCCTTTCATCTTATGTAGAAGGATTAAATGAGTAATAATAATATTAAACATATCCATTCAATAGTGGGAGGCAGAACTATAATAAATTTGATGATTTTAGTTATGGAGTTTGGAGCAAATACCTTCCTTTAAGTACAATTTCCTAAGTTGGATTAATAGGAATGTTTGATAGTCACTGCTTTCTTTAAAACTCTATTATTGAAAATAAAACAAAGGAAATTAACTTACTCTATTATGATTGTGTTGATCAATAAACTAATACTATTTAAAAGAAAGTTTAATTTCTAAGTAGTGATAATTAAATGCACAATTATAAATATGAAATCGATCCTTTAATGTATGAAAATTATTGGTATTTTTTTGGACTGAATATAGTACCATCTGAAGAAAGTTTTGGATTTTTTATATTTTAAGGAGAAATTTTAATAACAAGTTAACAATTAAATATTTAAGGTCCTTTTAAACATTAAGATTTAACAATAGTTATAGGAGGAGGTTTAATTGTAGAAGAATCATAAATACTTTGGATTCAAATAATTTAAAAGCTTTCTTATTTTCCTGGAAAATTGGCAATATTACACCCAACTAAAGAAAATTTATAAGAAAATTATGAGAGATTTGATTATTTCAAGAGTTACTCAAAAATGTACAATCCAAAATGCATTAGCAAAACTAATTCAATATAAAATTTACCAGATTTTGAAATTTCCAAATTAAACCATGAAGTATTCGCTTCAGAAAATATAAATTGTGATGAATTTTAACTTGAAACTTGGATCCAAATCTCAAATATTCGTCAAGAAGATTAATCATTTATTTATTAATTGTTAAAAATATCAGCAAATTTCGAAAACTTTTATGCTAAAAATGAAAATTTATCACCATTTTAATTATTCTATGAATTTTCAAATTCATAAATTAAATTAAGTGTGACTACATATAGCTTTAAATTTCCACTTGTTGATTATGATTTTAAGAAGTAAAGTTTTTTGTAATAAAAAGAATGGAGTATCAATAATATTAGATAATGGCATTTCTTATATGTCTCTTTGAATAATAATATACTTTAAATATAAATTTCATTTTATGAAGGATTAGATTAAACCCTATATGAAACTCAATTTATAGTTAATTAATTCCATTAAGTATAATTTAAATTATAATATGGAAATATATTACAATCATCAACTAATTATTTGATTGGAATTCTAAAAAATACGAAATTTAGTAATTCTGCATCAAAAGGAGATATTTTCAAAGGTTGTCATCATAGTTGCAAATAATGTGAAGGTCCTACATATAAAGATTGTTTATCTTGTTCAGAAGAATCAAAACGAATCTATATTCCATAATTTAAAGTATGTGTATGTCCATTTGATTATATTGATGATCTAGAGTGTAAGAGTATGGAAAATTATAATTTATTATTTGATCCAGAATTTGAATAGAATTCAACTTCAAATTGCCCTTAAGGATATTTTAATAAAGATGAATTTTGCTTAAAATGGTAATTCATTCTAAAATAATGTAGCCCTTCTTTTTTAAAGGATACTTTAATAACATGTTTGGAATGTATTTAAAATCCTATAGGTTGGCAAAATGATCCATATTGTTAAACTAATCTCTATATTGATACACTTGGAAGTCCAGCACAATATAAAATTGATAATTTAAAGACATATTTTATATTTGATGGAATTGATATGAAACCATTTTAATAGGGTTTAAATCTGGATTAAGATCAATTTGATTCAGTATATTTAGATTTTGAAGAGACAAATTAGAATTTTCTAAGATTTTACTCATCTTCATATTTAGATAGTTATTCTTGTACAATTGAATATTGTGAAATTTGTATAATGATAATTACAAAATAAATTTGCTAAAAATGTTCAAGACTATCTAAATTAAAAAATGGAATTTGTGTAGAAATACTTCGTGGAGTCATTAATAAAAATAATTGCTTAGCTCCTTATTACAAAACATCTGAAAATATTTGTAATTTATGCGAGATAGAGAATTGTTAATATTGTTTTGAATATGCAAGTAACGATTTAACTAAATGTACACTCTATAGTGAATTTTAAGTCTTTTCAAAAGATGAGTTTCTTAAAATAGGTTGTGCATTATGTTTAGATGGATTTATATTTGATTTTACATTAGGTAAATGCATTTATAAAGAATCAACATTACCCAACTGTTTGAGATCTTTTATAAATCCATTAGGTTAATAAATGTGTACTTTATCAGCTATTTAAGACTTTGGAGTCGCTCCAGAAATAACAAACTGTTAAAGATATATACCTAATTGTAAATAATGTATTTAAACACCTTAATCGATTGTAAAATGTATAATTTGTGAAGACGGATATTCGAGTTCCCTAACAACCGGACATTGTACAATCTGTGAGGTAGAATATGCTAAATTGTGTATAGAAGGAGATTTTGCTAAATCTGATGCTTGGATGTAATAAATCTAAAGTTTTTTAATGTAATTTCTACCAAATAAGTATATGTATCCAAAGTCCTCAGACTTGTAATATATAAAACCTCTTGCAATCAAATGTATAGATAAATATGCAATGAACCAAAATTTCTGTAGATTATATTGCGATTTAAATTGTGTTTCTTGTAAAAAGGAAGAATAACCATATAAAGGATTTACATGTAGTAAGTGTATTTAGGATTATTATATGGAACCTTTAAGGTCTATAGAAAAAGGGTCATGTATTACTTGTCCTTTGCTATGTTAGGTTTGTGAATAAAGAACAACATAAGAGATTTAAGTATGAAATAGATATCAATTTTAGAATATTAATCCTGCATATGAAATAAATGATTAAAATAGAAAGTATACTTATAAATGTATTCAAAAAAGGCAAGACTAAAATATCATTATTGATCCTTATTAATAAATAGCTAAATATTGCCTTAATGATATTTGTGACAATCTTATTTAATATTAAGTATATTTAAAATGATAATTAGATAAACAATAATTGTGAAGATTTGTAAGTAATATTTGATGGATAGAGGCCTTTTTCTGATAAATTAAATATTGAATATTTTAATCATATTGGAGCATAAAGATTTAAGTTAATTATTCCTATTCAAAAATTCTGTATCTCAGATGAAATAATTCTATAAACATTAACTAACTAATTAAAAAAAAGAATTTTTTCCTTATTTTGGGTAGAGTTGGCATTTCTAGGCAATCACTCTCCATCTACTTATTAACCAATTATAAAAATCAAAAATTTTGATTCTATCAGTTTCAACTAACTATTATTTATTATATTGTAATCCTTTGAATTATTTATACATAATTATGATGCTCCTACTAATTTAATACTTACTGATTCTAAATTTATGGCAAATAATTATGATTAAATAAAATTATCAATTTAAACAGAATAATGTCAACACTTTGAGATCCGAAATATAACATTAAGTGATTTAAATATTTTAAATTCTGTTGTTTTTTAAACTAGATTTTAAAATTAAGATGATTCAATCAAATTACTAAACTTCACAATTAGAAATTGTAATTTAACTCAAACTACTCTTTTTCAATTTTACGATTTTCCTAATAATATTATTATTTAAAATTTTAAAATTGAAAATTGTTAATTTAATAACTCAACAATTTTTAATTTTATATAAGATATTAAAACATAATCTATGATTAATATTAATAATTTGATAATTAGTGAATCTTTTATTTAAAACTCACTATTAATTAATGGCACAAACACTTATTAATTTAAGTTTGTTGACGTTTCATTAAATTAGAATAAATTAAAATATTCAAAGTTTTTACTATTTTAAAATAGTCTTATTATCAGGTAATTGAAAATAAGAGATTCTTATATATTTTAGACATTTTTATTCTATAAATTATTATCAAATACATAATCAAATAGTTTATCAATTGATCAATCTGATATTTAAAATAACATTCTTATCAATACTTCTCTTATTTTTACAGAATAATAATCAACACTTAATTAAGTAGTAATTAAATTATAAAATATTTAATTCTTAGAAAATAGTATTCCAAATGCTTAAAATTCCTCTACTTATCTATTTTATATGATTTGTTTTAGCCTATAGATAAAGAAATTTGAAATAATAAATTCATATCATCTTCAATATTTTTTTCTATTAAGTGTATCTCTGATAAATGTGGAAGATTTATTATATACTAATATAATATAAAAATAACGAGTACCGACATCTATATAATGTTTAGAGGTTGTGGTAGAAAACTCGCAATTATTTTACATTTCAGGTTACTTAACTTTATCATTAACAAATATTACAATTGTAAATCAATATAGTATAGATTAATCTTTTATTTAAATTTTATCCAATTCATCAGTAACTAACTAAAGAGAGAGTATTAAACTTAAAGGCTTAAATTTTATAGGAAATATTTTATTAAAAAAGAATTTAGGTCAAGTACTATCATAATTAGCAATATATTCAGAAAGGAATTAAATGATTGAAATAGAGAACATTCACTTCTAAGATAATAGTTTTAATTAACTTATTGATGATCCATCCCAATCATCTTCAAGTTTATTATTTATTAATTCATAATAAAGTTTTTTATTCATATCTCATTTAATTTCAGAAAGAAATGCATTGACCAATTCTACGAATTCCTTTATTTATATCAATACGAATTTAGTCTCAATTAAAAATATTTTTATTAAGAATCATAATTAATTAATCTAATCATTTTGGAATAAATATTTTAACATAAATTTTTATGAAAATTTTAATTAAGACATCATCAATTAATTGATAAATAAAGTTTTTACAATTTAAAACAAAGGAGGTGCTCTTGCAATAACAACAGAACATTTTACTATAAATAATTGTTTTTTTAAGGATATATTAGCTTAAAGTAGCTCTATACTTGATATTGTTACTTAAGGCTTAGGTAAAATAATGATAGCAAACTGTTCTATGATATCGGCATAAAATATTTTCTCTTAAATTGGAGAGAATGATGGAGCAATATCAATATATTCAAAAAATAGTCATTTAGAACTTGAATTTCAAAATATAACCTTTAAAGAGATATAAAATAGGTTGACTCCATCAATCCTATCAATAGTTCCATCATTTAAGTCTAATTTAATTATATTTCAAAATATAGTCATTTAAAATTGTTTCTCTTTAGTTAATTAGTTTATAAAAATAGAGTTTTAACTTTTAAATCTTAAATCAAATATTGTATCTATGGAGAACATTTCAATTTAATAAGATGAAAATTCATTAATTCAATACTTTTCTAAAATGGAATCTATAACTATTTATGAAATTTAGAAAATAACGCACGATAATGCCATTATTAATTTATAAGGATGCAATTTAAGAATTTAAAATTTAACCTTTCAAGGCATTTTATTGTCTTCAATCCTAAAAGTTTTAGATACAAAAACTTTATAACTGGCAAATATACTTATATTTGAAGGTTAATCATTTTATCCAATTAACATGATTCATATTGGATAAACGACTTCTATGTAATTTTAAGTTGTTTTATAGAATATTCAGATTATAAATTTGGTTTCATTTGATTTCAATAAAATTAAAACTAATTTAATTGAATACTTCAAAATAACATTAGATTACAACAGTTGTAACATCAATCTTTAATTATTAAATTAAGATTTAAATGTTCCCATAAAAATAGCATGGATATTTCAACAAATTTTGCTTTTATCAAGTCAAAAGGGGTCTTTAGTATATATTTAAAGTATACATTCTCAAAACAAGATAAAATTAATTTAGATATTAATATCAAATAATAATTGTTTAGAATGTTGGAATGGAATAATTTAATTTGATTTAACATAATATTTATCAATATATATTCAAGAATTATATTGTCTTAAGAATAATATAAGAAATTTTGGATGTATATATGCTAAATCTTAAAATTAATAAGAATCATCAATAAAGATTAAGAATTCTTTATTCAACATGAATAAAGGCACTATAGGTTCAGCAATTATGGCTTAAAATGTAAGAATTTCTCTTGTAAATTTGAAAATATTAAACAATATTGCAACTTTTTAAGGAGGAGCTTTGTATTTTTCAATCAATAACAATTAATTTAAAATATCTCAAACAATCCTTTATAACAACAAAGCTGAATAAGGAGGAGGAATTTACTTATAAGGTAATAGTAAATTAAATTAAGACAATTTTATTAAATCATGGATGAAACTGAATTCAGCATCTCTCTTACCTAATAATCTTTAAGAAATGCCAACTCATTTATCTTTATCAATTAATAATTTTGAGATGAAAACTATTTAGAAAAAGATAAACAATTAAACATCAAAAATTTTGTTTTTGTAACCTTATCTTGTAATAGAATAAGGAAAGGTGTAATTAACTAAATTATTAATGTTACCAAGCAATTAAGAAATTATTAATTATAAAATATATAATCCATCATAACTTAAATTTGAGAATTATTTAGAAGAATTTTCAATATCTTATAAAAATAATTTTAATGAAATATTACCTAATTTTTCTAATTCCACATGTGAAATTTTTATTTAAACATTATTAAATGATACTCTAATTGATTCGACAAATATTGCAAATATTGAATATCATTCTGAATCTAAAAATTTTGATTTAAGATTTTTATCTATAACTGTTGATCCATACAAATATAATAATCAAACCAATTAAATTTAGATTGCTTGTCACCTTAATGATTAATCTGACACTTTGTTTTATTATATTGAAATTAAAGGTTTTATGTGTTAATTAGGGGAGTTTTATTTTTAATCAGGTTGTTAAATATGTTAACCAAGTTAAGGATATTATTCTGTAACATATTGTTAAAATAATTCTAAATTTATAAAATCTAATATAATGTACCAATAATACTTAAATTTTAACAGTTTTTTAATACAACACTACAAAATGTTCCATTTTTGATTAAAATAAATTTCAATCTATAACTTCAAATTAGATTTAACTCAAGAAGGGTTATTGGAGACCTAATTATTAATCTGATTTGATTGAATATTGTTTTAAATTTGTTGATTTTTGTGAAGGAGGATGGGTTGTGTCAGATAATTTATGTTTAGTAGGACATATTGGAGGTTTGTGTGAAGAATGTGACATGTATGATATAAGAGGACAAGGAAATTATTTTAAAAATTAATTAAACACATCTTGCCAAGATTGTAGAGATGCAATTAATAGTGTATTTCCATTTGTTCTTACATCAATATGGTATTTTATATTAATATGATTTAATAGGGCCCTTATTTCAACTCTTTTAACACTAAGAAGTATTGATAAGTCTAATAAATTATTTTCTTCTTTGAAAATAAGATAAAGATTTGTGAAGATTATATTTAAACTAAATCAAGGTAATATAATAATTATATATAGATCATGAGAGTATCCTACTTAAATTATTTCTTAATTATGTATGGATATTTTCAGTAATTTTTACTTTTAATTTTTAATTTTCATTTTCATTTACATTCATTAATTAGACAAGTAACACATCATACTTTATGGCTAACAATTTGGATTGCTATTTATCAGAAATCTATAATATATCTCTAATTTATAATAGAACAATAACGATGACCGTACTAATGGTTTGCTAATTATTAATAATATATATGGGGTTTAAGTTATATTCAATAATCAAACACTAAAAATTTAATAGCAGCATAATATCTACTACACTCTTGTACTTATATGTGTCAAATTATGCTGCATTGATAAAACAGTATAATTAAATAATAATTATCTTAGACTATTTTCATTATTGGCTAAGAGAATTATATCTGATATAGAATATATATCAGGAGATGTATCGTTACTTTATAATTCACCAAGTCATTAAAAATGGATAATTGGCTTTGTTTTACCAGGATTAGGATTGATTGGATGTCTGATCCCATCTGCTCTCTTTCTACTCTTATACATCTAAAGAGACAAACTAGATAAGATAAAGTTTAGAAGGCATATATGTTATCTATTCAATGAATATAATAATGAAAATTACTTTTGGGAATGGATCAAATTATGGAAAAAAACAGTCATTATCATTATTATGACATATTTTGAAACAAATATATTTGTAAAGGCTTCATTGCTTGGATTATGTTTACTACTCTATTAATTATATGCAGTAAAATAAAAACCATATATACTTAATAATTTAAACGAATTAGATGTATCGACAGGATAAATATGTTCCATTGCAATATTTTTAGCTTCAATTAAATATATAAGTGAATAATAAGAGAACAAATCTACCTCTGTTTTAATAGAAATGATTTTAGTTTTACTCTGTTTGAAATTAAGTTATCCTTTTGTTATTGATTTACTAAGAGTCTATTATAAAAAATATAAAATTTGGCTATTAAGTAATTTATATGATGCATTGAAAATAATAAATTGCAATTTAAGTCTAACTCTTTATGTAAATAGAAAATTAAATTAAATAAAGTAACGAGAATAGAAATTAAAAACAAATTTAATAAAATTAAGAATTCATTTATTACAAATATCAAAATTTTAATTAGAATCATAAAAGTACTAATATTATTATTATTAAGATCTCTCGTGAATTTATTAAATTCCTAATCAACTACTAGACCAGCACTGCTAGGTCTTGAATAAAATGCATAAAAGATTATTAGATTAGATACAAACTGAAATCAACATATATGAATTATCTAATTTAAAGGTTCTTATTAATTTTAATATATATTATTTATACTATGTAATGTAATTCTAATTATCGCCCCACCTGTTGTTGTTCATCTATTCATAATTGTATCTTAACAATTTGTATGACTTTTGATTCATTATAAATGGATTACTTAGCATATATTTCAGAATTCATTATAAATAGTTGTAAACATTGTTATGTATTTCAAATATATCACAATATATATTAAATAATTATAAATATAAAGAAAGTTTAGGTATCATAATATGTAATAATCTAAATGTTAAATAAGGGATAGATTTATTAATTTATGTTATTTTTAAACTATTTATTTACATAAATATATTGTAGATATTAATATAATAAGAAAATCATATTTTACATAATTAATTATAAAATGAATAAATACTGAACCAGTTTAATTTTTCTTAATTTAAAACTTAAAAATTCATTTAGTCTAATTTAGAAATTACTAAATAATGATCTTAAATTAATTTTTGAATAAATTAAAAAAAAAGTTTATTTAATTTTTAAATACACTTAAATAATGGTCAAAGTAATCTCTTGACATGAAACTAATCTATGATGGTTTGTATTATTTCTAATTAGTGTTTATTCATTAGGAAAATTCCTAATAGCTGAATTTCCTGCATTATGGGTAATTATTTATAAATAAATATAGTATCGATACTGCTCTTTGCACATTTGGATCAATAACTACTTCAATTTTCTAAAAGAAGTTTGCTTATGTGCTTTAAAATTTCAATTTTTAGTTTTATTACAATTTTAATTCTGACTTAAATAGACAGATTTAGTGATATGAGAAATAAAGTAGAAGATCAAAAATTGAAAAGTATTGATCTTAAATAAATCAAAAATTTTAGTTTAGAATTTTAAGTTGTGTAAAATGCTATTCAGTATTCTTTATCTTCATTGATTATTCTGTTGAAATTTTTTAACTAAATGTACTAATTAAATTCAAATGATCAAAATATGATTTGAAATCCACTTTCATAATTCAAGTATTTGTTTTAATTGTTTATCTTTTTTAATATATATTAATTTAAAATAATATTAAATCAAAAATCTCATAAAGATATATATATATTTCAACCTCGTAGAAGGCTTGCTATGCTTAATAAATTTGATCTCAAATTAATTAAAAATTACTGGATTAAAAATAGAATTTACACAAAAATGGATAAACTTATTAGTGAGATAATCATCCATCCAATGATATATTTCTATTCGAAATCTAATATCTGGCTATAATCATCAAGAGAAATTAAAACATTTAATAATGTCACACAAAATATGGAAAATTCAGGTATACCTATTTTGAATAGTGATATTTTATCTTTAAAGGGATTTTCAAAAAGTAGAAATGCTTAATTTATAGAACAAGATATGCAACATAAAATAGTTTATAATAAAGGCTTCTCGTAAAAATATAAAAGTGAAAATATAAATGCTGCTTTTCTAACAATATTCCAATAACAATATTTTTTGGCATGTGAATTTTCAAAGTTAATTGAATGGTAGATTGAATAGAATTTACGTTGATAAATTGTATGTTTTAACAAGAGAGTATGCTTTGAACTAACATGAATATACACTTGAAGGATAAAAAAAATAAATATCAAAGTAAATAAGGCTAATCCAAAATTAATTATTAAGATGTAATGATCGAAATTATGATTGCAAGTAATTTGTAAAAGGCTTGCCATAAAAATATCTAAGATGAATAAATCAATAATTGAAAATAAATTTGATTATAAATTTTGTTTATATTCGTAACTAAATTAAAAAAGTGACAATGATAATTTAGGTAATTGTTAAAGCTTTTATTAAAAATGATCCTGATTTTTTTTTTAAGCATAATTTTAACCTTCAACTTTTTATTATTAATAACAAATTGTGTAAATATAAATTTTATGTGTTTATTGGGCTGTTGTAGATAATTTCTTCTGAAAGATCATCACTATAAAAGAAGTTAAAGCATAAATTAAGATAGAAATCAAAAGTAATATACAAAACACTTAAATATTTTATATGAATAGTGGGTTGACACCTTTTTCTGAAAACTTTGGAGGAGCTTCAAAATAATAAGAATCTGTAGGTTTATTAAGTTCTATCAAATTTGGAATGGCAAAAATATCATCCCATTAGATTTATTTGAAAAATTATTTAACATTAAGAGGATAGTCAATGTTAAAAAAATAGAAATAATTTATCCAAGTTAGAATATCCAAAATAGTCCAAAAAGAGTCTAATCCACCAAAAAAAATAGTAAGAGGTCCAATTAATTGTAGGATGAATGTGAATTAATTAGAAGCGCTGACTATTTATTGGGCCTATTATTTTTAATCCACATTGTAAAATATTTATTTTCTGGGTGTTATTACAATTTCTTTTATTTCATCTAAAAATCTTAAGGTGTTATTAGATAATGGTATCATTAAATGAATTAAATTTATCTCTGAAATAGTTTTAAGAAATTCAAAGTCGATTTAACAACCGTAAACTGATGTTTCATTTATTTAAAATTATGTTAAGTTGTATTTAAATTCATGCGGTTCAAAGAAATTAATGTTAATTTGGATTAAAGAGCATATATTCAAAAAATTAATCTCACTTTTTATTACTAAATTATTATCAGAGCTTGAGTTGGTAAAACTAACATCAACTTTTTTTTCAGGAATCTTAAAACAAATATTTCTTGTACATTCATAACCCTTTTCAATTTCACAAAAAGAAGTGCAACCATCTTTATCTTATTTATTACCATCATCACATTATTCATCTCCTGCTTTAATATTATCTCCACATTTAGGAACACGTTTTCTTAATTTGTAATCAGCATATAATCCTTAACTATTATTACACTTTTCGCATTTTTCAAATCTACATTTGGTACAATTATTTGGAGTCTTTTCACACTCTTCACATTATTCTGAACAAGTGATACACTCATTCTCAAGTAAGAAATATCCTTTTAAGCATGAGGTACATTTGATATTTCCTTCCATATAGATGCAATTTGCACAATTCGATTGGCAAATGAAGCAAATACTTGTTTCTTATACTTTTATACATTAGTAGCCTGGATCAATAATGCATTAGGTACAACCATCTCTTGAAACATTATTACCATCATCGCATTATTCAGATAAAAGAACTATTCCATCTCCACATGTACTTGTACAAACTTGATTTTAAATTTTGTATCCTTCTTAACACTCGGTACATTTACCTTGTATGCAAATTTTACATAGTAATTCACATTAAAATTGGCATTAATTACATCCATCATTAGGCTATTCATTTCCATCATCGCATTATTCATCACCAGCTTTAATTTAATCTCCACATATTGTAACACATATATTTTTAATATCATCGTAATACAATCCTTTTGACTCATCACATTATTTCCTCTCTAAACATCTTTCTTTCTTTTGGTCATAAAAATAGGATTGGATACAAGATAAACATTTTCCATTTTGGCAAATTGTACAGGTTTCTTGACATTAGAACTGACAATTAGTACAACCATCATAAATAATATTGTTTCCATCATCACAATTTTCTTAAGGTGTTATGATTTTATCTCCACATATAGAGTCACAAGAATTAGTTTTTAAATCTAAATAGAAGCCTTGAGAGCAATTGATGCATATTCCTGAATGACAATATTAGCAATTAATAGGACAGTTATATTTACAGTTAATATATGTTTCTTAATAATTTTAAATTAAATAATTGCATTATTCATTCTTAGCTAAAATTCCATCTCCAAAAATGGAGATACAGTTTTATTTTAGATTATCTCTTTTTCTAAAAAAACATTACTAATTGGAGCATGATAAACACATCGATGAACAATTTATATCAATCTATTAACAAGTTGTGTAGATAATATTTTGTTATTTATCTTTCAAATAGTCAATGATTAAATTGTCCCGTTGATGAAAAAGATCTAAATTTTAATCTATTATTAAAAAACTTTTAAAATATGTAAAATACAATTATTCGAATTGTTACATAAACTCTTTAACTTGTAATCCTAATGATTAAAGAGTGATCACTTTTATATAATTATTGTATTCGAAAAATTAATATGATTGCAATTCTTGATTGCCATAGGATTGATAAGAAAAATTCAAATCAATTTAAGAAAGAATTTTATCTTCATAATTTATTTTGATGCATTTTTCTTGGATTAATAAATAGTTTTCAAAACATTCTAAGCATATGCCCTTAAAACAAAGAGCACATTAATCTTAACAATTATATTAGCAAAGATGACATCCCATCCATCATCAAATATCAAATTTCCATCATCGCATTATTCATCAAGTGTGACAATTTCATCACCACAAATAGTAAAACATTATTTATCCCGTAATTCATATCCAATTTTACATTATAAACATCCATTACCTTAAGAAAGGTCACATTTTAGACAGGATTATCGACATTCACATCGATGTAATCTTGAATTTATTTGATATACATCAACACAATGAAAACAAATATTATTTTGACAATTGTCACATATTAATGGAATTTAGCATTTAAACTTACAATCCAATGTGCAACCATCATTATCATCAGATAAATTATGATCGTCACATTATTCAAAAACATTAATATCAGGTGCTGAAACAATTATTCCATCTCCGCAAATATTTTTACAATAATTTGATTCTGAAGAAAGGCCCTCTCTACATTTTAAGCATAAACCTTAATTTAAATCGCACTCTAAGCAATCTGGATAGCAATAAAATTAACAATCCTTACAGATTTTCTTAGTTGATTCGATAGCATCGTCACATTTTTCTGTTCCTACTTTTATCCCATCTCTACATTATTCTTTACAAATAAGTTTATCTGTTAAAGTATCCAGATACCAACCTGAAGTTGCACACTCATAGCACACTCCTAGTATACATTTTGTACATTATATTTAACATTCTAATTTACAATTATAGCATCTATCATTTGCTAAATTATTCATATCATCGCATTCTTCCATTTCAGTAATTATACCATCCCCACAATTGCAGTTAGCCTAATTTGAATTACAAGGATCACATAAATTGTAAATAGGACAGTCTAAAAATTTAGCAAGACTACTAACATAATATTGATTAGCAGGTCTTTCACAAATAAGACTGCTGCTATTGTAGCTAAATCCTTTAATACAATCTTGGCAATCATTTTATGATGTGCATTTGTTACAAAATTAAAGGCATTTTAAACAATTTTAATTATCATCATAATAGCCTTCTTTACAAATGCATTAATTATTAGTTAATATTCGAATTTTTACAAAATCACATTAGGTGCAAATTACATCATTAATACATCTATCGCAGTTTTAAGGGCATTATATACATTGTTGTTGATTTTTATCAAAATATTAATTAGGAGAACAAACACACCCTTAAATCGGGTTAATGAACCCTTCCTTGCAGGTTAAACAATTTTATAAAGATGTGCAAGTTTAGCAATTATTTGGACATTTTTAACATTAATCTAAATGCCAATCATAATATTCATTAATCTATTAGCATGTAGAAGATAGTACTGTACTAGGATTTTAGCAATCTATTTCATTTGTACAAGCTTGACAACCAGTCCTACAATAATGAACAGTAATATAAAACTGATAAAATCCACAATAAGCTTCAATGGGTTCATTATTAAGACCTTAACATTCCCAATCTAGTTTGAGAGTAGTTAAAGAATGTTAGTACTATATGAATATTTTATTTGATGGACTAGATTTTGTTAATTCTGTCATATGAGTATCGTCAATCCAAAAAATAAATTTACCATTATCCTGGAATGAAGGGCCAAAAACAACAATGAAAGCTATAGATAGACTATGATGAGGATCAAGAATATTGAATTATCGTGAAAATCTAGCCTGAGCCCATATATAAGGACCTCCAAAGATTCTCTAGTATTTATTCAAAATTGAATAATAGATATTAGCTCCTTTAAGAAAATTTAATCCTGTTTAACTAATTAATAAATACTCAGAATAAGTAAAAGGATTAATTTCTAATCCAATAAACTCTTTTATTAATAGTCTAGAATCTAAAACTAATTAAAATTAGAATACATTTTGTTGCATCAGTTGTATCGAAATCTTAACAATGAGTATCATTAATTTTAAATTAAAAATTACTTGTGCATTGAACACATTGGTTCCATTTTGAAATGTAATAATTTGTATTGCACTTAGTACATTTGAATTTTTCACTGCATGTTTAACATTAAGAGGGACAATACCCTGATGAAATCTCAATACTCCGAATAGCCCATCCTGCGTTAATATCTCTAAAAATACAATTTAATTGTACATATAATTGCCTATTAATTTAAGAATAAAATATTTTGTTAAGTTTGCTTATAGATAAATTTGATAGTATTGATTATTCTAATAAACTAATGTACTCTCATTGTAATTTGGCTTATTGAAATTCGCATATAAAATAAAATTATCTGTTTATACACTTGTATTATTTTTATATATTTTCCCATAATAAGTGTCATTAATATGTAATTCAATACAACTTTCAGGTGGCATTTCATTAAATAGTATTAATTATATATATATTAAAGTAAAGTTATTAGGATTATTAATGTTTAAAATTCTATAAATCCCTTAACTCTTTTTAAATAATCCAAGTAAATAATTATTATCAAAGTAGAAATTTTAAGGAATAGGAAGACTAAGATCAGTAAAATCATACAATATTTGCCAGTTATATTGTTCAGTAGTTTTATATTCATATAAACCAAACCAGTAGAAAATTAATCCTTTTTATAGATATCAATTTTACTATTATATGATTCACAATAACCATTTACAAACAATAATGAGTCTAAAGGACAAATAGATCTGCATCCCTGATATTTTACAAAATATGGAGTCTCTGGTGGACATTTATTCGAACAAGTGTTATCTTGTTAAATTGTATTATAAAAACACTCAGTACATTGGTTTGGTAAATCACCCCAGCATTTTTTACAATTTGGATGGCATTTAAGAGTTTAATAGATGAAATTCTTGATCGATACATTGCCCATTAAAGTATATGCATTAAATTAATGAATTCCTTTAATCGAAGTTTAATTAATTGTAAAATTAACTGTCTATATAAATGCATGCGTCGAATCGCAAAATCCCTTCTATATATCAACTTTTTGAATGGAATTATTATAAATCCAAGCATATTATTGATTATTGATTGAATAAGTCAAATTATCTAGTTCATTCCATAAATCAAAAAATATGAGATCAAATGTTATAAAAAATATTTAACCATAAAACTCTTATGATTTATAATATTAAACTTATGATGATTAGTTGTTAAGTGTTATGTAGCTTCCATATTAAATACAATTTATAAAGTTTGCAGTTGTTTAACTTGAATCTTTCTTTTCAATAAAACCATCAGAATACTAATAGCAATCTTTAGTGTTAGAAAAAGTAAAATTTGTAATTTATGTTAGGTATGATGTAATAGAAGTCCATTCACATTTTGAAAAATGAAAAAATAGTAGAATGACATTGATCAATAAAATCATTATTTAAATTTTAATAAATTTTGGTATTCCTTCTTCATTTTTATATGCTAATATCATTTATCATAAGCATAAACTTAGTGTTAAAAGAGTTTTAAACAATAAAATATTTATTTGTATACAATATATCATCTCTCCTCTTGATTTAAAGTATTTTTAAGAGAAAAGATTTTTCATCATCATCCACCAGAAATATTAATGGTATCACTCATAATAAATTAATTATTTTTATAATACATCATTTATGATATGCAGTGATCGATTAAAAATTGTATAAATATATCAAAGAGAGTCTAGATGCTAGAATTTATATTTATTATTACAAATCTTATGAGGAAGATTATTAAGGTATTTAAAATGAGAAAAATATTTAAAATTATGACATTTTAATTTGAATATTTTTTATATATTGTTATTAAAAGGAAGGACCTATTAGTGGAAATATAGATTCCAATTTTGGTAATCTAGCATTAAAATCTAATATCAATACCAATTAGGTGATTGATTGGATTTAAATTTTATCAAAGAATGATTGTAAAAATGATTTCTCTTCCAATTAGAAGATAATTGGATCTTATTTTTGACAGGTTATTTAAAATATTTCAATAATTTAATCATAGCTGGATTAGTTTTGCAAATGATGATGTAATTTTATTCTTAATAAATAAATATATAATTTTATCAAATAGTATATAATGAGTTTAAAAGAAATTACTTTATTTTCCTTTATAATTCTTATAAGTAGATAATAAATAATATCACCTTATTCATGATTATAAACCCTTCATTTACATGATTGTCAAAAATAATAACATAGATTTTTATTTTACAAAGTGCAAAGACTAATTAAGAAATCTAAATAAATTAATATTTAATTTAATTTCTGATAAGATTTGTTTGTAACTGCCTTCAAAATTTAATGATAAAACTTGATTATTCTTTAATTGAGCAATATAGGCAATAATAAACGTTTGATCTCATGAAGTTCAGTTGAAAAATGACATTTGTATGAAATATGAGTAGAAAGCATTTCAAATACGTTGGCTATTTGAATTTTTTTTATTTTGAGCTTGAAAATTTTGATTTTATTATCTACACCAAATATTAAACAATATAATTATAATGAATAACTCCTTGAGATTAATCCTATTTTTTATTATTATGATGTAATTTTTAATTATCTAGATGATAATAAAAAAAATACAAACAAGAAAATTAGAAATAGGGGAAAATATTAAGATTAAAAAATAGAAAGAATGATAGATGATAATTAGGTGAATTACTTGTTTTATTGAGAAAAAGATTAGAAATAATGTAATTTTAAAAATACTGTTTATATAATATAACTATTTGTTAAAAAGTTAGATAATTATTAGAATATTAAGTAATTATAAAAAGAAAATAAGAAGACACAAAAATGGAGTATAAACTATTTAATGTTATTTTGATATATTATTAATTGGCAACTAATGAATAATTCTAAATTAATAATTTAGATTTTTATCACAAATCAATACATAACTATAAACAAGAAGGGAAATCCTCTCTATTTTATTTTCAGGCTTAGATATATATAAATGTTAAATATAGTTTTGAATTTAATCCAATAATAATTTTACTTAACTTATAATAAGGAAATATAATTAAAATGTCAACTCAAAAGTGTTATTCCTTCTTTTACATGTTATATAATCTAAGTATAATAATTAGAAAAACTTGTTGTTGTTAAAGAGATTTTAATAAATAAAATAAAATTTCAAAATCACCATTTAATAATTAAAGATTTGACAATGGTAACACTTTATAAATGATTATATCTTGTATATTATCCCATTAAAATTTTTTATGATAATTATGAATAATTAGTCGAATTTCATGATCTCAAACAAGTAAACACTAGTCTTCTATATGGATTTAATAAGTGAAATCCCTTTTCACTCATTTGGTACATCAAATATTTCTAAATTGCCTTTTAAAAAATATAATCAAATTTTATTGAATCAATCATCATCATTAAGAGGAGGTGGATGCTGTTCAACAAACTTAGTGATGCCTGAAACAAGAAGATTTAACTAATTCCCATAAAGTTTTGCATCTAATCTAAAATTTTAAACAAATGTGATATTTGAAGAATAAATATCTGTTGAATCATCAAAAATATGGCTGACAGGAACTGATTTTGAGCTTTAGATGATAAAAATTGGTATTGCACATTTACGAACTAATTCAGAAACAGGCACGAACTTAATAAAAGCAGTATTATTTGGAATAGCCTCTTCTATATCATAATTAAAACCTAGTGAAGAACTTCTAGATGCTCTTATGGAAGCTGGAAAATATCTATTGCTTAATTTTTACGACAAGTAAATAAAGAATCCTTTGAAAATATATGAGCTTTATTATTTTTTTGAAAATTTGAAATGGTCAATAATTTTCTAATTAAAAGAAGGCTATTCAGTTAAACAAACAATAAATTAACTTACAGATGGATATAATAAATATATAGGAGCTTCATAAAATTGGTTAATTCATTTTTGTTGGATTAATTTAATCTCAGGTTTAATGTCATATAGGCCAATAATTTATCGAGCTGAAGTTGAATAGATGTTGAATCAAAAACATCATATTAGCTGGAATTAATTGATTGTTTCTAATTAAATTGTTTTAATGCCTTATGATAAGACTAAAGGAAAAGTAAAATATTCTGGGAGAGGGACATTTATTATTCGAGAATTTTAAAATTTAAAATTATTTTAGGAGTACTTGTTAGATGAACAAGTCAATTCTATAAAATTATTTTCATAGTATTTAAATTTTGATTTTAGTTCATAATAAAAAAGCTAAATCAATTTACAAGATTTAACAATTAGTTTATTCACAAATATTGATGATTTGGAAATTCTTTCTTCATTACAAATAGCCTTATTAAATTGCTACACAAAAATCAAGGAAAATTTGAATTTGATAGATAATTAAACTTCTAAAGATGAAGTAATCTCAATGTAAAATAAAACTGAAATAAAAATTTATAAACAAGATATTCAATATCTTATTAATCAGTAAAAAGACTCATTTTTGTAACTATTATATATATTCTATGAGATAGATATTATTAGAATTAAGGAAACCGAAATAATCAATAATATTGAATAAATTTTGAGATCAAATGAGAAGAATCTAGGACTGTTAAAGGATAAAACTTATATAGAATAGATGCCTAATTTAAATGAAATAAGAGTTGAAGCTGAAAATAGATTTGTAAAGTAATTGCAACAGCTACCCAATTTAATAGTTTAATTTACTCAAATTTTAATCTCTTACGAGGATATAATTTTAGATGAAAATAATGTAAAATATGTTTAAAAGACATAATTAAAACAGACATTGATAAAGTATCAGTAAGAATTGGAAATTTTTATATAAGTCATTAATAATTTCTTAATTAATTTCATTTGTAACATAAAAAAAATAAAAAACAATATCAAATAAATTAATTCCTAAATATCCCTTACAATTCCTTAAGAGTAGGTTTCACAAAAAGATATATCACAATAATTAATTCTATTTTATAACTCTGCCTTAATTAAAAATTTATCAAACTAAATTCTTTAGGTTTATTCTACTGATTGGGTAGAGAAAAATTGGGAATTTAATAATCTTAACGAATTTGGAAAAAATATTAAAAGATGCAGTGAAATTGCATTAATTTTTAAATTTTACAAAAAATTATTAAGAATTTAATAACAAAAAATAAATGTGTTACAATATGAAGATAATATTGCAAAATAGTATTTTAACAATAAAAATTAGCATACTAATTTGTTGGAAAACGAGAGCATAGCTACAGATTAAATTAAAAGCTTAGTTCTTGAAAGAAAAGTTATGATACAAGAATACTTTGATAAATATCCTAATTTAATACTCAATAAGTAAGAAATAAATGAAATAAATATAATAGAAGATAAAATTAGAGAAGATATAATCTCATTATAATAGAAGTAATGGAATCAAGAATTAAAGTTATAAAGTATTATGATTTTATAAGAAGCCTTAAACAAATTATCATAATTAGGATTGAATAAAGTCAATAAATCAACTTTAAAAGAAGAAATAAATTTAAATTTTACTAACTCTCTTTCAAATTTAAATAAGAAAATGTATGGAGATGATCAAAAAGCTGAATAGACAGAATTGCTTCCAAAAAACACAATTAATGATTTAGATTCTTAAATTTTCTTTAATTTTGAAAGCTCTATTACTTAAATAATCGCTGTGATAATAAATACAAAAAGACTAAGAAGAATCATATAATAAAATTATAATTTGTTTAATTGGAGTTCTGAAATTTGGGGGTCTGAAAAAAAAGATGAATTTTAATAAAGTATTAAGAATTTAATAACTGAATTACTTCATATTATTTAGGACAGTTGTTTTTCTATCTAAAAAGACTAGCAAATTGTTTTAAATTAGGATAATATTTAGCATTTATCAAATCAAAAATGTATTGACAAAATGAAAATTAATTTAATTCTCCTTAATAGTCATTCAATATATAAAATATAATCATAAAATGGAAATACAGAAATTAAATATTGTTTAATATACTAAGAGTTGGTAAAAAGTTTAAAAGATTCTACTACATTAGATACATAAAAAACTAATATTTTATCTGAGATTTTTGGGAATTCTTCTCATAAAGTAAGAGAGGCATTGGCATTTAATGTTATAAAAATTGATGCTTTAATTTAAGAAACCAAAATCAAAGAGTTTTGTTAAAATTTATTACAAAAGTTATGGATTTATGAGAAACATGGTGATGTTAGAAATATACTTAAAAATAAGGAAATGATAGAAATGTAGAAATAATTATTTTCAAATGATCTCACTACAATGACAAATTAAATCAAAGGTGAAATGAAAAATTTGCTTAATAGAATTGAATAACTTGAAAATTCTGTATTAACTGATAATTCAATTCAATCAAAAGAATAATTACAATAAGCCTTAGATGATTTTGAAATTTATTTTGATAATATCACAGATATGTCTCAAAAATTAGATATTAGTATAAATGTTACATTTTTTAAAATTATTTATCGTGAATTTAATCTGTGTAGTTTGTAGATTTGTTATTATGTTTCATCATTTTTTATTTATTACCATGAAGATAGCTCTTTAGTATACATTGAAATCCTTTTATTTAAGTCATAATGTGTTGATTTAAATTATGTATTTATAATTTTATAAAATTCTACTCATAAATCATTCCTTTATAAGCAGTCCATTAGTTTTACAAACACCTTAGAACAATATTTCTCAATTCTATTATTATTGATATTCTTTATGCTTTTGTGAATTTCATTATTAACAGCAATCATTGTTCTGCAATCTTATGAAAAAAGTTGGCTTTTTATGTCTCTCCAAACTTTTTCAATAGGATTAAGTTATGGGCAATAAGGAGGAAGATAAAGATGATTGATTTAGTTGATTATATGCTATTTTAGAAATTATTCCTTATGAATAGATGCATTATCTAAAATCAAAAAATACAAACCTCTACCAAATTTTTCATTACACAATTAAATTAAATGTGCAAGAAAGTTTTTCATAATATGAGCGTCGACATTTGTTCATATACATTGAAAAAGAAACAATCCTTGTCCAATAGCACCAATTATATTTATCCTTTTGGTAATTGTAATAAAATTTGAATGGAGTTTTTATCCAACTTAGCTCCATACCTTTTACGGATAATCATTCCTAAACCCACTTTCATCAATATAAATTGGGTATAAGTTATTCTAAATCAAAAATAAAAATTATAAAGCATATTGCACTCTTTACTCTTTATTTATTTATGTTGTAGCCTGCATGCTTACTTTAGAGGTTTTTTTGTAAGAATATCCAATTTATTTGGAATATTTTCTAAATTACGAAATTGATAGCTCTTCTCTGGTCACATTAAATTGGATTAAAAAATCCTTATATATATTTTAAATTGAAAAAAGGTTTGAGATGTTTTCTTATCTGACATATTTAGAAACCCATATTGAGTGATCATTAACAAATTCAAAAGGATGAATATAATGAAAATTTTAATTTATTTCTATTTCCTTGTGCAAATATTTTAATCTCTCTATTGACAATCCCAAAATAACAGATTAAGAAACTAATGATATATGATTTTCATGTATTCTATGTAAAATTGATTTAATTTTGAAATTGAAGGGAATATTTTTAACGACTATTTTTTATTGTCTCTTTTGCCTTTTGATTTCTCTGTTATTTTTTTTTTAGAATTTCATGAAATAAACTTCGATTTTACTCTAACAAAAGTCCCAAGCCTCCTAAAATTCCAGAGTCACAATTTCTAAAGGAATTCTATATAATCTCACCGAAAATCGTTAAAGTTGTTTATAATCTTGACAAAATTCATCGCAAATATGATCTTTCTCTAGTATTTGTTAAAAATTGTATTTATTATAATCTAATATTGAGTTAAATATCTATTACTAATTGAATCCTCTAAATCTTCTCTCTAATACTCAATTTGCATATGTATGACTCTATTTCTTTTAATTAATTAAATAAACAAAAATAAAATATTAATTTGAAAAAAAATTTGTTTAATACATAATTTTTTAAACTTGAATGTATTATAAAAAAGCATTAAAATTTGATTAGCTATATTTATTTGTTAATTCAAGATATAAATTTTGAAATCAAAATAAAAATTCTGAATTCGAGAAAAATAATTAGAATTAAATTTTTAATTAAGGTGAGAAATGGCTATTTCAATCTAATAAGCAAATGCTGCAGTAGGATCATTAGATTCAGCTTATTATTCATTAATCATTAAAGGGTTTTATATTCCAAAAAGATAATGTGCAGCAATTACGACAGAATATCTATTTAAAATTATGACAAACAAAGTATTTCGAATCGCCTCATCGGATATCAAAATAGGTCAACTGCTAAAGCAAGTATAGAAGCTTGATTTATGGATGTTGATATAGGAAATTAATGTTTCAAAACCTTGGGGATTTGATGAAAATCATTTACCTGATAAATAATGGATGATTAATGTGTTTCACACCTTAAGAGATAATCACGATGTATTTAGACACAACATTCCTGAAAGTATGTCTATTGTAACTTAACAAGAACTAAAGTAAATATCTAAAAATAATTTAGAATGCTGTAAGAATTTAACACTTCACTTCATCGAAAATCATAAGGGAGATTTTTTAAACGATCAAAAAGTCAAGCTAAATTGTATAAAGATTATAAGTTAAAAGAGAAAATAGAAAAACAAAAAAGAAAAAAAGAATAAAAAATCAAATATATTAACACTTTGAAATAATAGATTGAATAAATTAACTAAAATGAGATTTAAGAGGAACAGATAATGTTGAATCAAATCAATTGATATATGTAAATATTTCATAATATAACAAAAAGCAAAATTCATTGTATTTTATTTTTGTCTTTTTATATTTTTTTGATTTAGAATAACTTATACCCAATTTATATTGATGAAAGTGGGTTTAGGAATGATTATCCGTAAAAGGTATGGAGCTAAGTTGGATAAAAACTCCATTCAAATTTTATTACAATTACCAAAAGGATAAATATAATTGGTGCTATTGGACAAGGATTGTTTCTTTTTCAATGTATAAGAACAAATGTCGACGCTCATATTATGAAAAACTTTCTTCCACGTTTAATTTAATTGTGTAATGAAAAATTTGGTAGAGGTTTGTATTTTTTGATTTTAGATAATGCATCTATTCATAAGGAATAATTTCTAAAATAGCATATAATCAACTAAATCAATCATCTTTATCTTCCTCCTTATTGCCCATAACTTAATCCTATTGAAAAAGTTTGGAGAGACATAAAAAGCCAACTTTTTTCATAAGATTGCAGAACAATGATTGCTGTTAATAATGAAATTCACAAAAGCATAAAGAATATCAATAATAATAGAATTGAGAAATATTGTTCTAAGGTGTTTGTAAAACTAATGGACTGCTTATAAAGGAATGATTTATGAGTAGAATTTTATAAAATTATAAATACATAATTTAAATCAACACATTATGACTTAAATAAAAGGATTTCAATGTATACTAAAGAGCTATCTTCATGGTAATAAATAAAAAATGATGAAACATAATAACAAATCTACAAACTACACAGATTAAATTCACGATAAATAATTTTAAAAAATGTAACATTTATATGATATTCTTGAAAGAATTAAGTAAAGATGTAAAGCATATCAAAAGCTCAATAGATTAAATTATGCAAAATGTAAGTGATATAGCCAATGATGTTCGAAGACTTAGAGGAAAGAATTTTGTTGAATTACTACTTATTAGGAAACAATAACTATTAAAATAGAAGGATGAGAATGAATTAGATTAAATACATATTGAAATCTAAACTTAAGAATATGATCCAGTATCAGGAAATAAAAAATAATCTTAAAATTAAGATAAAACTTCTTATCTTTTAAAAAGAATCTATAATGATTTTGAGGGAGAAGTAAATGAATTTTTATGGGATGAAAATGAAAAAAATAAAGATGTACTGTTTTTAAAAGGAAAAGCAGGTTCAGGAAAAAGCAGAGCTGCTAAAAATATAGAAGAATTATTATGGAGTTACGATTAAATAGAACCAAAATGGATTCCAATTTATGTTTCTTTACCATCTATTAAAGATCCAAGACATAATTTAATTGATTAAGCATTGGAATCATAAAATTATAACTTTGATAGCATATAAATAAGAGATTTTAAGGAGGCAGTAAAATAAAAAAATTTAAGTATTGTTTTAATTCTTGAAAGTTACGATGAGATGAAGTAAGATTGTTTAGAATAAAATCTATACAATTCAAATAGATTTGTTTAAGAATTTAATCTTTCAGAATCTGGATAAAATTTTAAAATTATTATAACTTCTAGACAAGAAATATTAAATTCAATTGATTATCAAACTTGGTTTTATGGAAAAAGTATAAGTACTCTTAAAGAAGTTGAATTACTACCCTTTAATTCTGATTAAAGTAATGAATATTTAACATAATATTCTAAAGTCAGTGTAAAAAGAGCGATAAAAAGATTTTATGAATTTCTTAAGTAATTAAAAGCTTAAAGTTTTTCATTTAATGAATTTAAAATAATTTGGAGTTAAATTGAAGAAACAGTAAAAAAGATTTTGTTACAAAATTAAAATGAATAACTATTATTCTAGCCAAAAGACACAGAAAAAATAATATTAAAGATGTTATAAATATAGTTTTTTTAGTTATTCAAAGCTGATTAAATGATATCATTAAATAAAGATTTACTTTAATTATGGGGTTATTAAAAATTTACTCAAACAATCAAAAAAGTTAAAATATAAAATCTATTAAATACACCTTTTATGCTTGAAATTATTGTTTATGTATTGCCTAAAATGTCATCTTTTTTCTCTTAAGCTACTTTTATGAGATAAGTCTTGAAGTAAAACTATCTTAAATTGAAACAAGAAGCTATAAAGTCAAATTAGTTACTTAAAAAATATTCGCAAATTAATTAAAATTAACATGAACAAGATTAGAAAATATTAATTGATGACGTATAATTGCTTAAACTTTGTGAATATATCTTAAATGAGTTAGATAATTAAAATTTTTTTGAATAAAACTCTATTGCTCATTAATTTACTTATAAAGACAATTATATAATGAATGAGCTCAAAGTTAGTTTTACAGTAGAATTTGATGCAAATTTTGTGGTTGCAGCATTTTAATTACATCAATTTACTGCATTTGATTTTTATAAGTAATTTGTTGACTTTTATCATGCTTCACAAATATAGAAATGGAAAGAATTAGGAAAAAATATCAATTGGTAGAGTTTTTTGATTGATCTTTAATATTTTTGTACTTACTTAGCTATTGAAATGACTCTGAGTGAATTAACTTAAGTTAATTATAAATAGAAGGGAAAATTAAAATTACTATCTGAAAAGGATGATCAGTAGGATATATCTTGGGAAGATCATTATTTTAATGAAAATGAATAAGATTCAGAATATAAAAATTTATTACGAAAATGTATGTTAATTTAATTCAAAAGGTAGTTTATTTTCATTTAATCACAAATCTATTTAAGAGTTCTTTGTTGCTGATTATCTATTTAATTTATTTGAAAGAATATTTACAACAGATAAAAAGATGAATGAAACTTTATTGCTAAAGAGTCTTTTTACTAAAAGAAATAAATTTAATTTATCATTAGAACATTTTCAAGGTTGTTTAGAACTCCTTAAACCTAAAATCTACTAGTTTGCAAACTTTAAAGAAAAATTGATAGAAATAGTTAAGTTGTAGAATAATTATCCTGATATAAGTACTGAATTAATAAGATCATCATCTAATTCAATATTTTTATTAAGTTATTTGGGAGAATATTTAGGAGAAGAAGATTTAAATGGAATTTAGTTATCAGATACAAAACTTTGTGGAATCTCATTTTTTAAAAGTAATTTAAGTAATACAAAATTTGACAATGTTTCTATAGATTCCTGCAATTTTACATTAGCAAAATTAGAAAATGCAAATTGGAAAAATTTAATTTGTAAAGAAATACCTTCTTTGATAGGTCACAAAAAACAAATTAAATCAATTATCTTTTTAGATGATGGAGCTACTTTACTTTCTGGAGGGGAGGACGGAAAAATTATTTTATGGAATGTAGATCAAAATAAAAAACCATTAGAAAGATAAATTCAAAATTAGTAGATTTTAAAAATATCATTCTGTAAAATGAATAATACATTAATATGTTTATCTACTAATTCTATATTTATTCTAAATGCCAAAGATTTATCTGATACTATATATTAACCTTTGAAAAATTATATGTATGAAGATATTTGTAGATCATCCAATAATCAATATCTTGCAGTCTAATATTTAAAGTTAAATTTTTTTATTTTAGAAATGTAGAATCTAATAATCTCTGATAAACCCTAAAATTTATCTTATCCAACTTCTAATCAAATAAAATGTATGGCAATTTCATTTGATTAAAAATTGTTAGCTACTGGAGGTTAAGAAGTATTATTGTGGGATTATATTTCTGTTACAAATATAAAATAGGTTACAAGTTTACCTACTACTCTTAAAAATGTATCTAGAATTTTTATCTCACAAAATAGCTCAGTACTAATACTTGGTAATGGAGATGGAATTATAGAATTTTGGAAAATTTTAGATTTACAGAATTTGTAATTGCTTCAGTCAATTAACCTGGATGAGGGGATTGATAAAATTGAGATTACTAAAAATAATAAATTATTATTAATCAAAACGAAGACTAGATTATTCAGATATGATTGTTTAGGATTAATCAATGAATATGATTAAGTTATATAAATAGAATAATATGATACTGCTGCATTGATTTAATAATAATATTATGATTAAGTTGATTTGGATACTTGCATTAAAGAAATTGAAATTAGTCCCAACGACAAAATTTTAGCTTGTGTTGAAGAGAAAGATAATAAATATAATTTGAGTATTTGGAATATTACGAAAAAAGGATGCATTACTTATATTGCCTCATTAATAGATAATTAGGACTAGATTCTTTAATTAAAATTTTCTTTCGATAGCTAAATATTAATTTGTTGTATATTAAACTATATATATGTTTGGGACATAAATGAATTGAAATTGATCAGGAAATTGGAAACTTAAATTGATTAAATTAAATATTTGGCAATTTCCAAAGACTTAACTTTTTTGGCTATATAAAATTCCCATTATGTAGAACTATTTGAAGAATTTTGTAATCCAAATAGCAGCTGTGTTAGTAAAACAATTGGAATAGACAAAAATTTTGAATATAAAGGGATTTTGTTTTTAAACAATAAATTAGTTATTAATACAGAAAACTTTAATTCATCTTTTTTATAATTTTGGAATGCGAAATTACTTATATAAGAATTCGAATAATTATTTAAAGTAAAATTTAATTATTTTAATTTTTGTTTTGATTAAAATCTAATGATAACTATTGGAAAATTTGGAACTGTTTGGGAGAAAAGTGAAGTGTATTATGAAGAAAAAAGATCTCTAAATTCATTTAACAAATTAAGGTGGAAAAAGATTGAATATTCTGAATAAAAAGACTATTTGATTATTTTTGATGGAGAAAGTGTTTATTTATTCAAAGATTATTTTGATAGTGATGAAAAATCTCATGAAATATAACAGAAAAAGATATACTCTTCTCCTCTCATATAAGCAGTCTCATTTTCAAAAAATGGTAAATTATTAGCTTTTGGTTTGAAAAATGGAATTAAAATAATGTTTTTAGATTAATATTTAAAACTAAATTAGGATTCTTAATATATTAATGATTTTTCTATTTCTGATGATTCATTGTTGTTAGTCTTAGCAACAAACAGAGGAATCAGACTAAAAAATTAAGAAACAAACAAAGAAATATTTTACACTTTGGATCAAAAATATCTATTAATAAGATTTATAGAATAAAGTTAAAAGTTTGTAGCTATTACATAATCTTTTTTATATTTATATAAACTTGACGATATCAACAACCCTATTGTTTTTAAACATTTAATATTATGTGGTAATAAAATATAAGCAATTTATAATTTAGAATAATCAAATTCAATGATGATATTATATGATAAATTTATAACTATTCATGAATTAAAAGAAAAGGGAAATAATCAATTATTATAAATTTAGAATGAATTTAGTATATCAAAAGATTGTTTGATATTATCTAAATCAAATTATGTAGGGATTGGTATAGATAATGATATTAGATTTATTCCTCTTTGTAATTCAATTAAGATGCATAATATATATAATGCTTTTGTATCTTAATTTTAAAATATTTTATATTATAGTTTTTCTTTGAACTGTTAAGAATTTATAATCATAGGTTTGAATTATGAAGAGAAGTTACAAAGAGCAAAAATAAATTTAATTAATTTAGAAATAGAGATAAAATCTAGTGAAATTAATTTTGGATTTAATATTTATATTTATTCAAATTAGAAATAGGATAAATTACTTTTAGTTCACAAAGACAATTAGAATTATTAAAGAAAATTAGATTTAATCGATTTTGAATCATTAAAAATAATTTAATGTATAGAATAACTTAATCACAATGAATCAAGTTGTAATTATGCTATATTTTCAGAAGATAATTCATATTTTATCACTAAATATAAAGATTAAACTATAAAATTATGGGATTCAAAAACATATAAACTTTTATCCAAATTTAAAAGTGATACAACCAATTCTGATTTAATTTCTATTTCAACAAAAGAAATCTTAGCATAATCAAATTATCATATTATTAAACTTTGGAATTTGAAAGCTTTAAGATCATAATAATCAGAAATGGATGGCCATTCTGATTCAATTAATTTAATATCAATATCTCCTGATGGTTTATAATTAGTATCTGGTTCTTTGACTTAAATTATTAGATGGGAATTAACCAAATTTAAAAAAATAGATGTATTAATTAAAGGATAAGGTTTGCGCTCTATCTTTTGTTTCTCTGAAGATGCAAATTATTTTGCAGCTGTTGATAAAGATCCTTGCCTAATTATAATTTGGAAATTAAATACTTTATATTTAATTGAAAATTTCATGACAATAAGTTACTTTACTTAAGCAATAAATTTAAAATTTTAAATAGCTGATAATCATCTAATTTCATGCTATTAAATTGAATCTTAATTGTATCATATAGCTTGGGATTTGAGTAAGCCTGAATTATATTAAATTTAAAGAAAAACTTGTTACGTTGACATTCCTAAACCTGCCATGTAATTTTTAAGTGATAATAATTTAATGATATAAATTAAACCTCTTAAAATTTTTGTTTTTTTTGATCAAGAAAGTTCAGAATATTTTTAATTTGATAATTCTTAATCAATATCAGATGCTAAATTAGTTACTATTACGCATGACAATCTTAAAATGGCANGTTTGTAGCTATTACATAATCTTTTTTATATTTATATAAACTTGACGATATCAACAACCCTATTGTTTTTAAACATTTAATATTATGTGGTAATAAAATATAAGCAATTTATAATTTAGAATAATCAAATTCAATGATGATATTATATGATAAATTTATAACTATTCATGAATTAAAAGAAAAGGGAAATAATCAATTATTATAAATTTAGAATGAGTTTAGTATATCAAAAGATTGTTTGATATTATCTAAATCAAATTATGTAGGGATTGGTATAGATAATGATATTAGATTTATTCCTCTTTGTAATTCAATTAAGATGCATAATATATATAATGCTTTTGTATCTTAATTTTAAAATATTTTATATTATAGTTTTTCTTTGAACTGTTAAGAATTTATAATCATAGGTTTGAATTATGAAGAGAAGTTACAAAGAGCAAAAATAAATTTAATTAATTTAGAAATAGAGATAAAATCTAGTGAAATTAATTTTGGATTTAATATTTATATTTATTCAAATTAGAAATAGGATAAATTACTTTTAGTTCACAAAGACAATTAGAATTATTAAAGAAAATTAGATTTAATCGATTTTGAATCATTAAAAATAATTTAATGTATAGAATAACTTAATCACAATGAATCAAGTTGTAATTATGCTATATTTTCAGAAGATAATTCATATTTTATCACTAAATATAAAGATTAAACTATAAAATTATGGGATTCAAAAACATATAAACTTTTATCCAAATTTAAAAGTGATACAACCAATTCTGATTTAATTTCTATTTCAACAAAAGAAATCTTAGCATAATCAAATTATCATATTATTAAACTTTGGAATTTGAAAGCTTTAAGATCATAATAATCAGAAATGGATGGCCATTCTGATTCAATTAATTTAATATCAATATCTCCTGATGGTTTATAATTAGTATCTGGTTCTTTGACTTAAATTATTAGATGGGAATTAACCAAATTTAAAAAAATAGATGTATTAATTAAAGGATAAGGTTTGCGCTCTATCTTTTGTTTCTCTGAAGATGCAAATTATTTTGCAGCTGTTGATAAAGATCCTTGCCTAATTATAATTTGGAAATTAAATACTTTATATTTAATTGAAAATTTCATGACAATAAGTTACTTTACTTAAGCAATAAATTTAAAATTTTAAATAGCTGATAATCATCTAATTTCATGCTATTAAATTGAATCTTAATTGTATCATATAGCTTGGGATTTGAGTAAGCCTGAATTATATTAAATTTAAAGAAAAACTTGTTACGTTGACATTCCTAAACCTGCCATGTAATTTTTAAGTGATAATAATTTAATGATATAAATTAAACCTCTTAAAATTTTTGTTTTTTTTGATCAAGAAAGTTCAGAATATTTTTAATTTGATAATTCTTAATCAATATCAGATGCTAAATTAGTTACTATTACGCATGACAATCTTAAAATGGCAATTTAAAATGAAAGTGAAATAATTATTTGGTCTTTTACAAAAAAACAAGTTGAACATAGGTTTGAAAATGATATTGGATGTACATAGAATTTAGTATTTTCAGGAGATAATAAAATACTATTTACTAATTACAATGTTACTATTAGATGTTTAGACGTAACCGATTAATACAAAATTATTAAAGAGTTCAAACTAAAAAAACCTGATGAAATGGATGAATAATAATTTGATTAAGCTTAATGTTTTCCTGTTGAAAATGATAATTTTCTCATTATATATTCTTTTATTGAGCCTCTTAAAAAGATTGTAATATTAGCAACATATGTATCTGATTTTGAGTAATTTTAAATGTTGTTGGAAACAAAAACTAGTAGAGATTTTTTTAATTGTGCATATTGTGATAAAAGACAGATCTTAGCTATTCAAAATAATTTTTATTTCTCTTTATTTGATATGAAATCTAAAAAATAAATTGCAATATTAGAACCAAATTAATTTACAAATTTTAATCCTCATTTATTACGTTTTTAAAAAGATGGAAATTTATTAGTATCCATCGGTTATGATATGAGCATTATTCTATGGGATTTGTCTGATTTAAGAAAAATTAAACTTAAAGTAAACCAAAATTACCAACCAAATCAATAGGAAGTAATTAGCATATCATTTTAAGAATATGAAAATCAAGTTTATATATAAAAAATTCTCAGTAGTAATGATATAAATGCAGATAATATTTCAGATTATGTTGAATACTGTTAATTTTTGATAGAGGATATAAATTATAATTATTTAATAGAAGAGACTTCAGAGTATAAATTGCATATTAAGGAAAACAAAATAGAAATTAACAAATAAAAAGATGGGAAATCGATATATTTTTTAGATCAATTTAATACATAAATTAATTGTGCCACATTTACTCCATGTAGTTAAAACATTATTTTAGGGATGAAAAATGGGTCAATTTTATTTTATAGATTAGATTAAAATTAGAATTAACCAAAATGCTTCAAAAGCTTTACTTTATATCCTTTAATTTTAGCAGATTCATGTAGTATTAAAGGTTCTATATTTTTTAATTAAGAAAATCGTAATTTACTAAATTTATTTCATGAAAAAGGTTCCATAACATAATGATATAAATACGTCAAAATTAAACAATTTAAATTATATTTAGTTGATTTAAATTTCTTCTTCTTTATATTATTTATATCTATTTCATTTATATAGAGTTCTATCTAATATTGATTATATTTTTCTTTACACTTTAATTAAAATCTAAATTTAAATGTGTAAAATTGCAATATATTTCTGTAATTATTTTTGTTAATCTTAAAATGATTCTGATTAATTGCAAATGGAAATACTTCAAGATCCTTTAGAAAATTTTAAGAATAATTTTCAATTTAATTCATCTTTCAATAACAAAATATAAGTATTAATTTACATAGATATAAAGAATAAGAAAATATAATTAAAGAAATAAAGGAGTAAATAACAGAACAACAGAGTTTTTAAATTCAGGTCATACTAGATAATAAGGAATAGTTTAATTTTATAGTTGAATTTTAGTCTTTATATTATTAATAATAAGTGTAATTATTGAATTAAATATAGAAGGAGATGGTTTAGCAATAAATTAAAAAATAATCTGTTATAAATGTATTTTTTGCTAATTTTATAAATACACTTAATTTTTACAAGAAAAAATACCTCTTTTTTTTTGGATTAGATACCTTGATAAAAAAATAGTCATCTAACCTTTTATCAAATCCAAAATATATTAATGATTAGAAGTTTAAGTATTAATTGAAAGTTATTCATCCTTTAAAAGTAATCATCATTATTTTTGGTAGAAAATTGGGCTCAATCTTTTTTTTATTTTGATTATCTAAATAAAGGGGAAAAACCATTTTCATAAAAAAATATCTGAGCATGATAAATATGTAGTTGTATTATTCATAAATAAAGATGGTTTAAAAGTGATATCAGCAAGAAAGGTT